GCTTTTGGAATGAGCTGCTTCACAAATTCACAGAAAATTAAATCGAAATTTCCAATAATAATAGTAATTTGCCCTGTCATTTTGAGGTAAATGATGTGAGTTATGGTCCAACATGGTCAGGTTTGCTCAGTGACAACATCTGTGCAGTACAGAGAAAAGGGTTTGTGTTCCAACTAGCAAGCTTCTTCTATGCCTGTGAAAGACTGTGCCCGAACTTTGAGTCAGTGATCTAAGAAACCAATCATGGTCAGGTTTTCATATAGAAAACTCTTTATTTTCCACTAAGGTAAATCTGGGCTGGAATTCTTTCATTCCTTTTTTTTAACAAGTATGATATGGCTCCACTCAAAAAGGTTGAACCTCCATTTACTCAGAAAAGTAGGATAGGACTACATACTACAGAGGGAGCTGTTATGTTAACAAGAGTAAACAAAAAGCAATCAGATCCTAGTAACATCTTAACTGGATTGGGTAATGCACATGGCCACCAACTCAGCCCAAATCACTCCAGTCAGTGTGAAATTCACCTCCTCCCATGGCATGATGGTCCTCAAAGTCATTAATCAGTGGATGTGCAAACATATTCCTCTTCAGATGCTGCAAAAGTGAACATGGTGTCTTGTTTCTCACCCAGCTGTGGAGCTCCAACTAGTTCTGCTAAGACCACAGGATCAAGAGGAGCATGCCTACAGGAGAAGGCGAACCATGGGATACACTGCTTTCTTCAGGAAAATCCAAGGGCCACATGCCTTCTTTCAAAAAAGGGTGTATGGGGAAAAGGGAATCAATCCAATGACCTGGTACTGGCTTTAATTTTTTATCCCCAACCTGCAGACACGCTTTGATTCCCCAGTGCCAGGTGAGACCGGAGCACAAGGGTGAAATGGCGTATCCCTGAAATGGTCCCAGAATGAACAGGCAAAGGACTGGAACACACAGACCCTGACAAGCAACAGCTAGACAGACCTGGTTTTTCATTCCAAATCCTCCAGCCTCTCTCAGTTTTTTTAAGATACCCATAAGAACCTTTCAAGACTGTGAGACAAAATAAACCCCAGAGAATATCTATGTAAAGGCATTCAGCAAGAAGTGCTGAAATTTATTCAAATTAATTACAGTAGAGACCTCTGTCTTTGAACTTCTAATTCACAACAGCAGTAAAAAAGGAAATGGTGAAATGGGTTGTATTAAAGTGCAATGATGTGGAGAAAACCGTTGAAACAACACAAATGAGGCTGCAGTGAGAAATGAAACGACAGTCTCATCCTAGCAATGACAGCAATATATAAGCAAATTATGTTACAGATAATTTACAAAATAATTTACATAGATGAAGATAAGCTGAATCTCATGTTGCCATTCCATTGTTAAATATCAGACTAAATATTCCTGGTCAGCAGAGTATTATATGGGATCATTAAAAAAAAGATCAGAGAAGATTTCTGCATTGAAAAACTTGGCTGAAGTAAAACTCTGTTCAGCCTTTATATTGCAGTATTGCAAGAAACCAAAGTATTTATGAATTGTAAAGCGACACATTCAGCAGCATGAAGACTATAAATACATCTTTTACATTGATACATTATATCTACACACATATACATATCTACACACACACATATATACACACACAAGCACATACATGCACATATACATGTGCATAAATATATGTGTGTGTATATATATATGTTTCAATTTGTACTGACCATGGTCAGCTGCATTTTGATTGCGTCTGGGGTAGGGGTGCTTTCACAACCCAGGTGTAAGATCATTCTTAGGAGTGTTTGTCATTTACCTTTCCTAAGCTGCAGCCTCTAAAACATAACATTTTGGCTTGAAGACAGACTTCAGGGCTCAGCCATCAGAGGGTCTGATGATTACCAGCAGTTATCATTGACTTAATCTGCTGTGCTTAGCGCTTCTGAAAAATTATGCTCTTAGTGCCCACTTTATTTTTAAATAATATGATACATGAATCAGTTAAAAACCTGTTTTCACATAAGCAAAAATATTTGAGAGTTGGACAGGAATGAATACAGTATTCTACACATGCACACAGTTTTGTACTATTTTTAAGGATGATGTGCAAAGAATGCCTGACAACATTAAAACTTACAATATAGGCTTACATCATATCTTGAAAAATGGCAAGTTTAGCATCACCTTTCCTTTAAAGAAAAATTAAAATATTTATCTGTAGCACAAATCTGACTATTCTCTAATATTTTTTTCCTCCTGTGCTCCCCTTTTGTAGAAAAAATACGTCATTGGGTTTTTTTGCTCTGTCAATGAACCTGGAACAAACACTATGTAGACTGAAAATACGTTGGATTTCCAGCCTTCATAGATTTAACTGAAGGAAGGCTTTTGACCCACAGTGCAGCCACAATAGTTTACCCTGCTTGTAACTGCACGTTAATTGTGAGAGCTGAAAATAACCATGCAATTACCATTTATTAAAAAAATCATTTAGTGAATAAGAACATTTGCGTATCGTTGTGCATCCATGTAAGGA